CAAAAATGCTACTAAAAATAGTATTCTGTGAAGTGCTGTTAGTAGCTGATGTGGGGGATCTCAGAGACATGTGGTTTTCGGTCGCAGGAGGTGATATAACAACAAACGTTAGAAAAACCTTGAAAATTTTCAATATGCCTTGATTTAGGAGGTGTTTCATGATAGCCTCAGCTAAACCTCACAATATTGTAGCCTGTGTAATTTTGTTGAGGTTGCATGTAATATTGCTGGCAATGTGTAGACAAAATCTTGTATTTTTTTATTATGCCAATTATTTCAGATTTGGCATCGAATTGGTATTCATCTGAAATTTTCTTGAAATCACCATTCAGTGACATAAGAAATAATTTATCAACATTCTGCTTGGTGTTATCTTTCACAATTTGTGAGTAGGTTAAGTTTTTATTCACATGTTTCAATAATTTTTCTATTAGAGCATCCTCTGCTGATATAGTTAACTTGCATTTATGCTTTGCATGCTCTTCATTCATTGATGATGCCTCCTGACTTTCCTCGAAAACTTCAAGCAATTCTTTATCCAAACTCCTAACAGTATCAGCCTTTTCTTTAGCTGAAGGTGTTAAAAATGAAACCTGATGAAAACAGATGTACTGCCTGATGTGAGATGCTGTCGATTTGCTTTTCTGTTTTTTATTTTATTTAAATATCTGTTGAAACCATCTCGCAAGGATTTCCGCCTCTTCTGGAACGTTACTGCTGTAACAGAAAGCATAAGAATAAAGTATTGATGTTTAACACGTTTCACATGTTTGACATAATAATATCAAAATTCCACATTTGTTTCAGGTATTTTGCTACCAGATGTTAATTTGTGGAGCTTCAGTATTGCTAGAGAATTGGAGCTTCTACAATAAGACTAACTGTAAAGGATGTTTGCATGCAAATTTGAATTAATCTAAAAGATATATGTATGGCAGAGTTGACGGAAGAGAACTGGGCGAATATTGCAAATGGGTTTCAGAAGCATGCTAATTTCCCTACCTGCACTGGCGCTATCGACAGTAAACACATCAGAATTATTAAACTGAGACACAGTGGTTCACTTTTGTAAGAGTTATTTTTCAGTAGTGCTATTAGCCATGCGACACAAATTATAAATTTACATTTGTGGACACAGGTTCATATGGAAGGAATTCTGACTCAACAATTTTTGAAGACAGTACTTTATATGAAAGATTTCTGTGAGAGACACTGCATATTCCACCACCTGCACAAACTGCAAACAATGGAAACTTTTTACCACATGAAGCTTTCAGTCTCTCTGTAAATGTGATGCATCCTTATGGAGGAAAAAAATCTTATAGTAAAAAAGACATTTTTAACTATCAGCTGTCACAAACTAGGAGATATATCGAATGTTCTTTTGGTATACTGGCAAATAAATGGCATATCTTTCATAGACCGCTTAATATTTCAGCTGATTTTGTCATAGACATTGTGAAAGCAAGCTTCATTCTATACACTTTTGTGCAAGAAAGAGATGGCTCTAAGTTTGAAAACACTCTGTCCATGGGAGGGTTCCAAGATGAATATTGCCACTGAAATATGAGTAACCAGGCAGGATGATTATTAAATTCTATTCCGAGATACATTTTCTGACTACTCTGTGAGTGATGAAGGAAAACTGGAGTGGCAATGTGATTACATCGAAAGAAATGAGAGATAGAACTGTAATACATACCAATGTTATATAGTACACAAAATCAAATACAAACTATGAAAATGCTTACCTTTTCATTTTTCTCCTTGTTGCTCTTTACAGTGAAATTCACTCAAAACTTTTAACAAACTGCTGCCCATGCACTGTTCCATTCAATTCGATTACTGTATGGCTCACTCTTGTAGTTCCAGATGCATGGGCACTTCTTTAGTTCACTAATAAATGCATCTGTATCAACAAAACTGCATTCAACATCCATCTTGTAGCTCCTACAGCTGATTAATTAGGATGAAGACATCAGACACAGTGAAGTCAAGGTCATGCAGTCCATGTAGCAGGAACAACCGCACCTGAGCAGTCTGCGTCTCAGTGAGGATCAACTGAAAATGAACTGCAGCCATCAATCAGGAAAAATATGATCATGCGAGGTGTTTACTAAACTTTCCATGGTGTCGGCCGAACCACTGAGACACGAGTGCAAGTCGACTGCGTATGCAGTCCATTTCAACTGCAAAATGCCATCCATGTATTAAGGCCCTTAGCTGTGTGCTA